CCTGCAGCATTTACCTTTTGATTTCAATTAGTATAAAGATACTTACCTGTTCTCCAGCTCATGACCAGACACATGGGCTTTTAGTGCATATAAGATCAGGACAGCTTAGTGGGAGGAAGAGGGAAGGAAGATGAGAAAGAGAAGCTGATGGGACTCTGCTACTTGTTATAAGATTTCAGGCAAGCTAATCCATGGTGAGTCTGTGTCCTTAGCTGCAGTGTAAGTAAGGTGCTAACCCACTTACTGTGTCTTTTTATTAGTGTTGCAACAGTTAGGTTTAAAGATGAGCAGTAGCTAACTTGGTAATGCTTTTTATATTGACTCACACATTTCTGGCTTTATTCCTTTTATTTTTTACTTTTCCTGCCTTTTACCCACTCTAAAAGTAGTAATAATTTTAGGCTTCACTTTGAAGAATCCAGGCTTGGCCAAATGCAGACTCCCTATGGCACCAAATGCGTATTGTACAGGTTACAGATCTCTTAGTGAAGCATTCATAGAACAGTAAGCAATAAAAACAGTGCTAACAAAATACAGTAACCACACAAGGTTGTAGTCTATCATAAAATATAAAGGGTCTGAAATCACTGAGATTGGGTAAAAATGTTAAAAAATACAGCATTTACATAGTTTGTAATATTAAAAGTTAAGAAAGTCCCAGTGGTTGAATTCTGATTCCTCTATTTCATTATATAAGGAATTGAAAAAAAAACAGGGCCCTCAAGTTCAAAGACTCAATAAAGAAATGGGCATGTGACATGAATAAATACTTCTCAGAGGAAGAAATACAAATGTCAAGTAAATATGTGAAAAAGTTTCAACTTTGTCTCAGTTACTCTTCTGTTGTTCCTGGGACAGAAACTTGACACTCAAAATGAAGGAAGAACAGGTTTGTTTAGTTCACAGTGGAAGTTTCAGTTCATACTGAGCTTACTCCAAGGCAGAGTGGCACATGGCAGAGAACAGCCTTTCATGGGGGCAGCAAAGAGCAAGAGCAAAAGGGCAAGAGCAACAGCAACAATGACTAGAGAGAGCAAGTCTGTCTCCCTTAAACTGCATTCTGGCTATCTGCTGCAGGCCAGGTGTAGCACTCTCACCCGTAATCCCAGCAGCACTCATACCCATAATCACAGCACTGGATCATGAATTAATCATAAAGTCTACAAGTCCGCCCCATGACTGCATGAGGCTTCTGGGGGGCCAGCTAGACACAAACCATAACAAACATCATTGGTCATTCAAGTTGCAAATTAAATCAACACTGAGATTTCATCTCACCCCAGCAAGAATGGCTGTCATCAAGAAATCAACGATTGAGGTTGGTGAGATGGCTCAGTGGTCTGAAGCACCTACTTAGAACAAGCTTAGCAAAGCACAGGGACCGCGGTTCAATACCCCAGCACCACATGCCAGCCAGCCCCGCCCCCTGGTGGGCTGAGCTGGACACACACACACACACACAAATTAATTAAAAAACCATTAAATGCTGACAGGGCTGTGGAGAAGAAGGAATCCTCTATTGTTACAAAATGGTACAATTGGAAATCAATATGGAGATTTGTACAAAAACTAGGATTAAAGGTCCCATTCCACCCAGCTGTTCCCCTTCTGGGTATCTTCCCAGAATAATTAAAAACATCATACCACAGTAATATGTGTGCACCCATGTTTATAGAAGCACAATTTGTAATGGATAAATCTTGGAAAAAACCAAATGTCCATCATCTGAGGGATGGATAAAAAAGATGTCTTTTTATATAATGGGATATTACTCAGCCATAAAGAAAGATTACCATGATATTTTTATAGGTAAATGGATGCAACTTGAGACCATACTCATAAATGAAGTAAATCAGACTTAACATGTGTAAATATATTGTCTCAGTGGTGTGAGTAACTGAAAGAGTAAGGTTCCAAAATGTACAAAACATTGTGAAATGTGCAGAAATTATTCAAAAGGAGAAAGGAACTAGGATAGGGAAAGCAGAAAGGGAGGGGAGAAGCCAAAGTAGTTATACTACTAGTTTCTCTTAGTTTATTGAAAAGAAAAGTTTATGCTAATACTGTTTGGAGAATTTTTATGCCCATTATCTTGTACTCTATTATTTTATGAATTTTTTTCTATAAAATGAAATAAAAGCTGCAGAGGGATAATATATTTACTACTGTTGTTAATAGAAGGATTTGCCGTGTGGTTTTGGCTGTAAACTATCCAAATCTAACTAAAAACTATAAAAAAATAGGAATAAAGCATACTGGGCTAATAAAAGGTAGACAGAAATCATAGTTGTCTAACACTGAGTAAGGTTTGGCACATTACTAATAAACAAGAGAGGAAGGGATGCTGTTACAGTCAAGAGTATACCCCTTAAGACCAAGGGGGTAGCTCAGTGGCGTAAGCACCTGCCTGGCAAGTGCAAGGTCCTCAGTTCAATCCCTGGTACCCCTTCACCCACACGCAAAAGAAAAGTACATCCTTTGTTAAAGATCTACAGTTACCAGTATGTGTGCACCAAGGGAGCAGTCTATTCAAATTCATTGAGAAAAACTTAATTAGATGGCATAGTAAAAACATTTTTAGAAAGCACTTAATTCATATTTCTTTTTTTTAATAGATTTTTTTTCCTACAGTTTTATTGCTAAACAGATAGCAATGAGACAGTTTCAAATCAAATCGGAAGTACAGTTTCAACAAATAATACACTGCATATATTCTTCTTAGTGGTTAAT